GAAAGCCTGTCTTCCAATATCTGGATTCTCAAATCGAAATTTTATTATAGAAAATGAAAGCACCCAGTGTCTAATTATTATAGGATTAAACGTTCTTTTTTCAGAATTTTTCGATGTGTAAACTCTGCCTTTTTACTCACAAACTGAATAAAAGTGCGAAGCACTTTTATGTAAAGTTTGTGAGTAAAAAGGCAGAGTTTACACATCGATAAATTCTGAAAAAAAGAACGTTTAATTCTTATAATTCCAATTACGAATTTTTAAAATTATTAAAATTATTTCTCTTAGAGGCCGCCATACAATCCGTTATTTTGTACGGCGTAGGAATACTTCATGCCGCAAAGAAACGAATACAAGATGAATATCGATTAAATCCAACTTAAATTGCCAAAACAATCAATAAATAAACTTATAAAAACTCATTGAATGTTGTTTAAGTCAACAAATATTGTAAATACGCGTATTCTCCAGAATAATCGTACTTCACGGTGACCATGGCATGTTGACTAACGACAACGCTCATAGTGAAAGTAGCAGACCGACGACGTCCTCGATTTGCTCTGGTTCGTTCAAAGATTTATGGAGAATATGGGATCTGTAGGATGTAAATATATGAATTTGATGCTGATAAGGAAAGAGTATGAGGTACGTTTCTTTTCCCTATCACAAAGATACCATCTGAGCTGATATGGAACGTGTAGAAAATGACAGCATGATCAGCGATTTTTTAAAAATTCACACTAGTGATCCGACAGTGACATAAATATAATATTCCCGTCTGTCAGTCCTGTTTGTCGCCAGTTTTATTTTATTTAATTAAATGTGAAGTTTCTTGTGTTCAATATTTAGCTAAAAAGACCAGAAATAACTTTTCATTCTTTATACGATAGCCCAGAAGCTTCGTCAAGAAAGTAGTTCTGATTGAAAAATTCATCGATGTGTAAACTTTTTCTAAAACGTGTTCACGTCCAATCAAAACACAGGTAATCAATAAATAAAATGAATATTGGAATTATTTTGATATATGCAATGGGAAAGATGGTGATAGTTAATTAATTGATATAAGTACAGGGCCATTTAATGCATTAGATGGCTCTTGCTCTTTATAATGAATACATAAAATCCTCTGCTAGTATTATGTTACCTGTATATGTTATGTTATTTAATATTGTTTTTAACTCAGCAATTTTGCCTGAAGCTGGGATTGTTGGTGATATATTGCCTATTTATAAAAATAAGGGTAACGACAATGACCCTGAAAACTATAGACCTATAACTTTACTAAGTTGCATGGGTAAATTATGCACATCCATCTTAGCTAAACGATTAAATAATTATGCTGAGCAATATTATATACGAAATGAAAATCAAGGGGGTTTCATATCAAATTACTCTACAATAGATAATATTTTCACTTTACAATAGCTTATCGAATTATCCTTTTTACTGAAAAAGAAACTATATTGTGCATTTTAGATTTTAAGGCTGCTTTTGACAATGTATGGAAAATAGGACTATGGCAAAAACTCATTCAAAATAATATTACTGGAAAATGTTTTGAAGTTATAGTGAAAATGTATTCTGAAAGTAAATCCAGAATAGCTGTTAATAATATGGAACTTGGTATTTTGCTAAAAATGTTGATTATTTTGTATGCGGATGATACAGTTTTACTATCGGATTCACCCGATGATTTACAGAATCAGTTGAACAGTTTTTTATTGTATTGCGAAAAATGGAAGCTAAAAGTTAATATTGAAAAAAAACAAACAAAAATAATGATTTTCGCAAAGGGACTTATACCACATAAAGTTTTTTACTACAATAACAAAGAAATTGAAATTGTTAAACATTTTGAATATCTAGGAATTATGTTCTCTAAAACAGGCTCATTTATTAAGACAAAACAATATGCTACTGAAAGAGCAACGAAAGCTATGTATGGTATTTTGAAAAAGGGTAACCAATTACATCTTTCTTTATATGACCAATTATATCTGTTCGACAAGATTGTGGTGCCAATTTTATTGTATGGTTGTGAAGTTTGGGGCTATTGTAATGTTGAAATGGTAGAAAGAGTACATTTAAAATTCTGTAAAATGCTTTTTCATTTAAAACCAAGTACTCCAAATTTTATGATCTATGGTGAATTAGGTAGAGTACCTTTAATTATACATATCCAAACAAGAATTAGTGCATACTGGTCAAAAATTTTACATGGAAAACAATCAAAATATTGTTTTTTTAATGTATAAATTACTTCTTGCAAAATTTGATAATGGACATGAATCTAAATGGTTAAAGGATTTGAAATCAATTTTAGACAATTGTGGATATAGTAATATTTGGAATCAGAATCAATTATTTAATAGAACTTAGCTTATTAAAAGTTTGAAACAAAAATTACTAGATCAGTTTCAACCTGATTGGAATTCAACCTGTAATGAGTCTTCAAAAGGTGTGACATATAAACTATTTACAAATTTACACTTTGGATGCAAATTTTATGTAGATAGCGGCTTAAGTAATTATAAGAAACAAATTTTAGCTAGATTTAGAACAACAAACCATAAATTACCAATTGAAACAGGAAGATGGGAAGGTACTTAAAGAATTAATAGAATATGTCTTTTATGTAAAAATGATCTTGGTGACGAAATCCACTATATTTTATGCTGTGAAAAGTTAAAAGATGAAAGAAAATTGTATATTCCGAAACATTATTTTTCAAGACCAAATGTTATTAAGTTTAATGAATTGTTTTCTTCCAAAAATGTTGGATTATTGAGTAAACTTTGTTCATTTATTAAAATTGTAAACGATAGAGTCAATCCTCCAGGTTGACATCAATGTAAACAATTATTATATGGAAATACTTGATTCTAAGAACACTTTGTATAAATGTTATATGTTATGCTCACGCATATATGTATATATGTTATAATAAAATGTATGATCTCTATGTTGTTAAATAACAAAGAGATTTATTAAACTGGTAAACTGATTTGCAGGGGACTTCACTTGTCCCAGATACACATACCTAGAAAAAAAAATTACCTTCGCCTCTTACTCTGTACATTAAATCTTAATTAATCTGCAAATTCGGGAGGTTCTGGATCCTCTCTTCGATTTCATGTTAAAAAAATGGACTCTTTGAACATGAGAAAAAAACCTATTTGTCTATAAGATTAATTATTTATTCTTTTAAGTTAAATGTAGAAAATTACCAGAAAGAGTATGACTGTACTTTTGAGACCGATCTTTTTGTCTTCAAAAAATATATCTTTAGGATTTTTTTTCAATAGAGACAATTTTTTATGGATATCCCACCTCCCATAAGAATATAATGGCAGTGTCCATGTTATGCGATGGGAAACCCAAAATATGAGTCAAACCAAAAAGACACAATTGCACCCAAAAGCGTAACAGACGGACGGACGGTCATTTCGATTACTGTAATATACCCTCCCGCTTTTCAGGCGGATGTATAAATAAAGTAATATTTGTAAAGTCGATTAAAAATGCAATACAACAAATAAATGTGTGTGAATGCCTTGTCAAAATGTAAGAAATCGAAGAATCGAAGAAATTTCTAATATACCACAATCTTTTATTCTGAAGTTTATTTAAATCTTACGTTATTACTCCAATCAACTACGTCCCCAAGTGGTTGTTAACCCCCACCCCGCACTCTTTTTAAGAAATAAGGTATCATTTTTAAACATCTATCGGGATATAAATACGGGTTGGTCACGAGATTAAATCCCATAAGGGCTTTATGATGAATTTAATCTCGTACCAACCCGTATTTATAGCCCTATAGATGTTTTAAAATGATACCTTATTACTTATATTTACATTTGTGACTTATCCATACTTTATATTTGCCTGATTATGACTTTTAGCGTGTGAAAAGCATTATTTTTCAAACTCAACGGCAAGTATGTAATCAACAGAACGCGCGTCGACCCTTTATGACGTCCCTGAGAAATAACGTCAAACGATTATCAATACGCACGTCTTTGACCTCTTGACCCCATACCTGTATTTATACAGTAATAGATACGCATTCCTTTCAGTAGTGTATATAAAGGAAAACAGTTGCAAATGTAAATATATAGAATTATAATTAAATAATACAATGTTTGTATTAAGACGTCTTAGAGCTGTACTTTTTCTTAAGAACTCGCTAAATTGTTTTAAAATCAGTAAAATTACTTAATTTTAACTTTACGCCCGAACTTACGCCTACCAATGAGTAGACGTAGAATTAAATACTTGTTTAGATCACATCGAAGTGTCTTCTTTTGCAGTACAAACAATGTAAACTGCATAAAGTTGCTGATGAATGTCGGTTTTTATAGCTAAGCGGGGCTATTCCACGGATCTCCCTACACATTTAAACAACGTGATAGAGTAGAAAAACTGAAACACAATTTTGTTATTGTATATTCATTATAACTAATCAATACATTTTACGAACAAATTTGTAATTTAAAAAAAGGCTATTTTTAATATAACGAAAGCTCAAATCGTCTGCTTTCAATACACAGGTAAGCAAACAAATGTTCCCTCTGGTGTTAAATGTAACAGCGTAATCGAGACATGGTGACCTAATTCGATTCTCTTCACAAGAAATATGCAGTCGTATTTAGCGAATTTAGTAAACATGGTTAAATAGAAATAATGTCCTTGTTGTCGTGAATGATGCAGAATAACCTCCTCGGTCTCGAAAAATGTTGTTTGAAATATAAAATCCTCGGTCAACGCCTCGGTTTTTTTTTCTTTCAAACAGCACTTCTTGACCTTAGATGTTATCCTGCGACATTCACGAAAACGCGGACTTTATTTCTTAAATTTAAAATGCCTGTGTCATCTTTAATAGTTTCTAATCCTTGCATTCTTTTTACAATAACACTTTTTTGCAGTCAACTTAATACTGATCATAAATTGAAGTGAAACACTTGTGTAAATAATATTTCAAAGATTGTTGCTCTTACCTATGTGCTTTTCATCTCTTTGAAAGTCACGTCTCATAACCATTACATTTTCATCTTCCGCTTTGGTCTCTTCCTGTCCTTGATATATTTCGATAGATTCGGTTTCGTTCATATTTTCTGTTTTATCTTGAAAGGAGATATAAATCAGTGTTCTTAAATCTTTTGTAAACTTATGAAAGGAGATTATTTGTAAATTCAAATGTAAAGTGTTTTCGACTTCGAAACGCCATTGTTGTATACTTACTTTGTAGCAAGTATTCTGTCACATCGCTCCCGACATTTTGACTACCTCTTTTCGGATTTTTTATTGTCAAGAAATTTCTCCTTTTCAATCGGATCATTGTAAATATTAAGATTCCGAAAAGGATTCCGAGAAGGAGAAATGTAGGAACTAATACAGGTACTAAATCTTTCTCTTCATGAAACTGTTTAGTCAAGTTTTGACCTATGGACAACTGTGATGTGGACTCTTCTTCATTTTGCGTTGTAGTAATCCTACGGCAAAATACCAAAATATTACATTTTAATCAATTTCGTCCACGATTTTCTTATGACCATATTTTTTTTTACCAATCAATGATTAAATGAATTACCGATTCTTCACCAGACAAGATTCATCAGAAATAAAACACTTCAGATCAGGTTCAATCTGGAAGCAACTAGGATCTGTGAAAAAAAAGAAGAAAAAAAACTAAGTAAATGAAATATCATGAAATGAAATGTCTGGTCACTTTCGAAAACGAAATATTGCACAATGTTTATAAAACACACGGAATCGTATTGTTTAATTTGAACCAGATGTGAAACTCAATTACAGAGAAGAGACGTACACTTGAATAACTGGTCAGTGAAATAGTTATCATCTGGACAACCATTCTTGAAATGAAGACAGGTGTAATTGTCCAAAGTAAGAGGAGGGACGAATATGACACACTGTCCTGGAACAGTAAAATACGAATTCTTTTATATTAAATATATTTCATCTACTAATACGTATTTTTTTTAAAAAAATCATCTCGCTTAATTACTCTTTACTTTAATTTATGAGTGTAAGCAAAATATAAGTATTTTTTTAGATAAAGCTTGTAAAATATAAGTATTTTTTAAGATAAAGCATTTAAGAACAATATTTTTCTTTAACATTTATAGATTAACAACAAATCTGTGATTTGATTAACTGAATGAATTTATTTAAATTTTTTAATTCAGGTGGTAATGAAGTGATGAAGTTTAGGAAGGTTTTAATTATCAGGAAGATACCAGCCTTTTCCAAACAGACTCCGATAACGTGGATAACAGAACTCCACCAGCCGTGATCGGTCTCTGGTGGCCACACAGTGGTATCTATTCGTATAAACTTTTGAATTCAGTGTACAGTTCAGTCTTCTTGAGGCTGCCTCCCATTCAGTCTGGTTGCCAGGACAGGCATCAACGTTATATAGGGAAGGATATGCCATCTTTGATCAATTTAAATGGATGTAAAATTACTTTTTCGACTAACATTTGACAGTAGAAATGTAATAAATTCGAAGTTTTTTTTTTCTCTTTGCAGATATAAAAACAAATGAAAGACAAGGAAATTCTGAAATACACACAAAATGTTGAGTCACATAATGGAAGAAAACATGAACAAGAAATTACAAAAATGCAAAAACTACAAACACTCACGACTATGCTTTCCGTGATAACCAAGAAAATACCCGCAATCGTAAAAGTGGACTGTTTCATTGTCTTTGTCTGTTAAAACTTAAATGAATTCTGGATCCTAAAGATGAAAAAAATGTATTCCTTCTAAGGCTTTTAACATAAAACATAATATCATATTATATTAAATTGAATGAAAACGAATTTGATATGATTTAAATCAAATGATTAAATTAATTTATGAATTTATAACGGTCATGTATACATCTAACAGTCTATTGCAAATCCCATTGGTACCCATTGTGCATCTTTTTAGCAGACCCCCTTTTTTATTCGTATGAAGCAGAATTTGTCCAAAATCTAATAAGTAAAATTAACGTGTAAGAAATTTAATTTTCCTCAGTAAAGAATTGTTCATTTCTTGCTTGGGAGATCTAATTTTCGTGTGTCGAGCTACATCAAAACTAAAACTGAAACATACGTTAAAAAGTTATGTGTCTGTGCCAACCGCCCAGTGTAACGACGAAAAGTGATCTCCGTAGAATATTGACCGGGGGTCATTTTTCTACTTAGAAACTTGATCCCCTTGTCAATATTCTATGTAGAAAAATGACCCGCTTTTTTGTAGAAATTATGGCCTTGGGGTCGTTTTTCTCCGTGTGCATTGTAGAAAAATGGCCCCGTAGAATAATGACCCTTTGTCATTTGATATACAAAAACATTCGTTTTGCGAGGAATATCCTTGTAAGTCGAATGCATATCAGTAATATCAAGCAGCCTTATGATATGAAGTGTTCTTTTCTGAAAGCTTTTAGGCTTGTAAAACAAAATCAAAGCTATACTATACCTAACATTAATAATACAAAAATAGAATTGTTTATAATTACATTTTCACAGTTGTTATTTTTAATCTTTAAAAAGATCACTTCCTACCTGGTGTCACGAAAAAAAACTTTAAAAAGTTCCATAATAGTAATTTTTTTTTATTTTACCCTTAACAAAATTTTGCTCTCTACTTTTAAATCTGGCGCGAAAAAGGGCGCTTGCTTAAAAAATTAGATGTTATTTGGTTTTCAATGAATGAACTTTCAAACTTCTCATAAAAATAGGGATGGTTTAGTTTGTAAAAATGAATACTAAATTCAATTGCCTCTCACCTATGATACCAAAAAATGTGTTTTACTCAGAACCTTTAAAATGTCTAGTGTCATCAAAACCTTAACAAAATTAGGGTTGAAGCATAAAAAATGATTAACTAAAAAAGACATACCCAAAATTGGCACATGTACCGGTAGTTTCGTTTCCCCTGTCTACATGTACTTACATGTGATGATGTAAGGAGTTTATTTTTTTTAACAATTAAAAAAAAAAATGCTGCATTATTAAATAGTTTTCAGTTTACATATTATATTTATGCCCCTGTAAACGAAGTTTCGGGGGTAAATAATTTTTTTTAAATCGTCCGTCCGATTGTCTGATTGTCGGCAAAAACTTTAAATTTGCTAGGCTTAGACTACGGCTTTCATATTTCATGATCACAGATGTATTTTTTGTGACAAGACCTTTCTTTGGGAACAACCAAAATTGACCGTTTGACCTTTACCTTGGAGTATGACACATTTTTACACAAAATTCCAAGCTTTTACTATGACCTTAACTTTTGGACGGTATTTATGGCAAGCTCTTTTGCTATTTATTCGGAAATAAATTTTATCTTAAAATACAGAGATATCTCTCATTTTAGAGAGATATCTCTTAAAAATAGAGATATCTCTCAAATTGAAGAGATATCTCTTGATCATATTTTTTTAGAGATATCTCTATGGGAGAGAGATATCTCTTAGACTTAGAGAGATGTTTCTTAGACTTAGAGAGATATCTTCCACTTGAACAGAATATCTTTCTCCTTGAGAGATATGTTGTTCGTGAAAAGACATATCTCTGAATGTTAAAGAGATATATTTTTCACCTAAAGATATATCTCTTTAACTTTTGGAGATATCTTTCCAAGTTAAAAAGGTATTTCTCAAAGTGAAAAAGATATCTTTCAAAAATGTCTACCTCAAGCAAAAAAGAGATATCTCTTTATTGCAAGAGGTATATCTCTTCATTATTTTTATTTTATTCCATTTGAAATGACTTCTCCCTGTACCGAAATTCAGCTTTTTTCACGGGGGTACCATCAAGTATGTTTAAATTTCGACATATTCATGATAGTCTACATTGTACATTATAGCTTTACAAAACATGACAGGTAATTCAGTGTTGTCTAGATTTTAAGTTAGTTAAAGTTGATGATTTCATAAGCTGAGAAAATTTGGTCCATTGCATTTGAGAATTTATGCTTACTTTCTTCCTTTCCTTAATATTTAAGTTTTATTATTATTTGTTTAAAACAATGAGTTTATAGCATTTTCGTCTACATAGTACGTATATCAATCTGGGTAAATCATGTTCAGTCTTTTTCTTATAACAGCGACATTTTCCGAGAGACTTTACTTCCTATTTCGCTTTTGTTTTAAAGGGGATAATTAATTATTCTATTTTAAGGATAACTGGAAAAGAGATATCTTTTCCGCAAAAAAGAAAGTTTTTTTTAAGAAAATATTTCTTTTTGAAAATGGAAAGAGATATGTCTCTAACCAAGAAAGATATTTATTTTGACCTTGTTAAAGAGATATCTCTATAACTTTAAAAACATCTCTCTCGCTTAGAGAAATATCTCTCTCACTTAGATTTCTCTTGCTTGAAGAGATATCTCTCTAGCTTATAAAGATATTTCTCTAAGTAAAAGAGATATCTATCTTACAAAAAGAGATATCTCTCTAAGGCATAAAGATGGCTCTATAAGTCAAGGAGATATCTCTATAGGCTAAAGAGATTTATCTCTATGCTGGAGAAATATCTATGTTATTGAAAAAAAAATATTTCACGAATAAAAAGTAAAAGAGCTTGCCATAGATATGTGCTAGGACTTTAGATATCGAAGTGATGGCATGATAGACTAAGAGTTTATTTGTATTTGCAAAGTTAGTGTCTAAGAAAATCTCAGAAGAAAGATGTGTTAGAGCAACCGTTTGTCAGGTGTCTGGACTAAAACGTATAGAAAAAGGAAGTTTCTTTTAATACATTATAGAAATCTGTGAACTTTTATTCACCCAGATGTAAATTTTGTCCGTTTGGGGTTATTTTTTAAATATCATTATAAGAATATTCTCGATGTGTATGGTATTTCCCGTATATACAGGAAAAAATATAGTGCATTATATAAGGTTCATGTAGTTAAAAAATATGTATTTTAAAGCAGAATGCATACACATATGTAAATTTAAAAGTTAGAACTAAGAGAATTGATTTTATGTAGTTAAATAATATTGCTTTTCTTGCTTCTATGCTATGTTTTTGTATTTGTAAAAATTGTAACCCTATCTAGCCCTAACGCGGAAAAAATGGTTAAAAGTGCAAATTTTAGGGGCCGCCCGACAAGTTTATGTTTACCAGAAACATACCATCATGCCATTTTCGGAATAAAACATTTCAATGTAAAAAAAAACCCACCCCAAAATATAATCATATATTTATGCTCCTCAATGAGTTACCCTAGTAAAATATATTCATTAGGATTCTGCAAGCCAAAAATAATCCCCCCCCCCCCCCCCCCCCGATACATTGATTATGATGTTACTATTAAGATATGAAATCAAAAATATGTTGGAAAGGAGTAGAATACATAATACATTATTATACTTCTGTTCAAATGTTTCCTATAAAAAGTTAAGAAGGTTAAATAACTATCTTTTATAGTTCACGCATAACAGAGCTATACTTGGGGTATAGTTTTTGCTATCCACCTTTGGAAAATTTTCATGCAATTCTTGCCTCCAATTTTGATTTCTAGCGATAAATCTATTGACTGATGATGTCATAATGACTTCAGTAGCATGGTGACGTCATCAGGATTTCAGTATTATCTTACTCCAAAAATTCAAACCTCGGAAATTATATTATACAACAGTATTAAAAAACGCTTATCCACTGGTTTTGAGTTGGATAGCTGAATTATTTAACCCTTGACAGGGACTATTTCCCTCTGACAAGCCCTCGGGGATATAGTTTCCTTTCGTGGGTTTGATAAAAGAGCTATCACACTCACAACCAGTGGATAAGTGTATATTAAAAAATCCCCCTCCTTAAGGAGGCTGGCGGGTCAACAATTTAATCCCAAATTAACCACCAGATTTAACTTATTTTTTTAGAATGGGTATATTTAGCTGTCAACTATCATTTGGCAAAGAAAAAAATCATATATTTTAGTTTTAAAATTTTATCATTTTGTATATCTTTATATGGAGCTCTCCTTTTAAAGGAGATTGAAATAGTCTAAAAATGGCTGCCACCCCCAAGCCTCGTTAAATTTGAAAGTATAAAAAACATCAGGAGAAATAGATATAAGGTTTCATTGTATAAAAAGATAGGGGTCAAATTTCTATGGGGGTCATTTTTCAACGTGTGTGGAGTCGTAGAATTCCTGGCATGGAATGTTTTCCTACGGTCGAAAAATGACCCTACTTGTCGTAGAATGTTTACTCTGGGTCATTTTTGTATGCAGAAAAATGACCCCCTGGTCAATATTCTGCGGAGGTCACTTTTCGTCGTTACCCCGGCATTAAAATGGAACTTTTGTAACCTAGCTCTCGTTTAACGGTAAGCGTTGGCTCAATAACAAATCCTCACTGATTAATGACCCTGGATGCTGAAGGTTTAAATTTGAAGCCCTCAACAGGCATACAGTAATGTATCAATATGAGTGTAA